ACGCCGCTTGCTGCGCATGCCGCTGTCGCCCTTGCGGACCCCTCTCCTGGTCCTGTAGTTGCTCGCAGCTACACTACCCTTCCCTGTCTGGCGGTTCCCTCGGGTTCCCTTGCAGGCCTGCACATCCCTTCGTTCTCCAGGAACTTAGTTGGTGTCGGCTGTCTTCAAAACCTCGGCGTCACCACCACGTTCCCCGGTCGCGAGCGGTACGCGGTCTTTTCCTAGGCCGCCTCAGGTGCCCCCCTTGCGACGTTCCCCCGGGACCCTGTGTCTGGCCTGTTTACACTGGACACTGCTCCCAGCTGGGCGGGCGAGTCCTCCTTCGGTACTGCGTCCACCCTGGTAGCTATGGCTTGCTCGTATCGGTCGCTCACTCACCCGTCCGTGTTGTGGCACAACCGACTAGGTCACCCTGCGCTCCCCCGCCTGTGTCACATGTCTCAGCACGGTCTAGTTCTCGGCCTCCCTGCTTCGTTCCCTGCTCTCCCTCCCTCACCTGCACCGCCGTGCACGCCCTGCGTCAAGGGCCGGCTGCGCCGTGCTCCTCACTCCCCCTCACTTCGCCCTGCCACTGCACCCCTTCACACACTGCACTTGGAAGTCTTGGGCCCAGCCCCTGTCCCTGGGCCGCGTCGCGAGCGTTACTTTCTTGTGCTCGTTGACGACTACACGTGCTACACCATGGTGTTTCCCCTGGAGCGGAAGGCCGACGTGCCTGACCTTCTTATCCCGTGGCTTGTCGCTGCGCGCCTCCATCGCGGTCTCCCTGTGCTGTGTCTCCACTCCGACCGTGGCGGCGAGTTCGCCTCTGGTCAGCTGGGTTAGTTATGTCGTGAGAAGGGTATCACCCAGACGTACACCCTACCGGCCTCCCCGCAGCAGAATGGGGTCGCTGAGCGACGCATCGGTTTGGTCATGGAGGTGGCTCGTACCTCCATGATCCATGCCGGTGCACCCCATTTTCTATGGCAGTTCGCCGTTCGCTACGCCGCTCACCAGCTTAACCTCTGGCCTCGCTCTCAGCGGCCACAGGTTTCGCCGATCCTTCTTTGGACCAGGTTCCCAGGTGACGCGTCTGCGCTCCACGTCTGGGGCTGCCTTGCTCACTTTTGTGCCTCCGGCGCAGACAAGCTCACTGCCCGCACCGTCCCCTGTGTCTTCCTCGGTTTCCCCCTTGACTCGTCTGACTGGCACTTCTACCACCCGCCATCTCACCGCTTCCTTCACTCCCGTGACGTCACTTTCGACGAGTCTGTCTCCTTTTTCCACTGCTTTCCTCACCGAGGTCACCCGGTTCCCCCCCCCCTATTTCTGGTTCCCACTCCTCCGGTCGCCCCTGCTCCCCTCCCTCCCCGTCATGCTCCGTCTAATGTGTCTCACGTCACCCCCCTCCAGTCGGTTGTCCCGGTCGAGGAGTCGGCTGACTCCGGTGGCCCTACGGTGAAGTCTGCGCCGCCTGTCCCTCCCTCGGTGTCTCCTCCTCCCTTGTCGCAGTCGCCGCCACAGCCACAGCCGTCGCCGCAGCCGCAGCCGTCGCCGCAGCCGCAGCCGCCGCCGCAGCCGCCGCCGTAACCGCCGCGGCAGCCGTAGCTGTTCGTGGACTCTGGGGGTGCTGGAGTTGGAGAGGGTGCTAGTCCTGGGGCTCCTATCGTGGCTTGTCCCGGCGGGCTCGGGGGTGGCACCGGCGCTGGAGACGTTTCTCTTTCGGGGGGTGCTGCCGTGGAGTGTACTGGAGGTAGCAGTGGTGCAGCTGGTGGTCCAGGTGTCGGCGTTGAGCACCAGCAGCACCAGTCGTCGCCGGTGTCCGCCCTTTACCTGCTCGGCCTTTCCTCCCCTAACTGCTTGCCTATGCCTCCCTCGCCGTCTCCCCCTCTTCCTGTTCACGGTCCTATGTTTCCTCTGCCGGACTCGTCCCTGGCTCGTTTCCCCTCTCGTTGACCTCCAATTACTCCTCCTTTGTCTACTGACCCGACGCCTCCGTCTCACGTCTAGTCTCGCCATCCCTCTTGTGCTCGTCCTCTCTCTTCTGTTCAACGTTCTCACCCTATGTAGCTTCGTTCCTTCGCGTCTCGTCCTCCTTGTTTGCCTTCGCCTCCTCCGTCGTCGCTCACCGTCGCGCCTCCCCCTCTGTCTCACTACCTTCGTGCTGCTCGTCCTCTTGATCCTCGGGTCCTTGCCTCCCTCGTTACCGACCCGTCTGTTCCTGTCTCCAGACTTGACGCTCTTGTAGTTGCTGTCACTGACTTTGCCTCTACTCGCCGCCTTAACTTCGCTACCGCTATGGTCTCTGACCCTATCTTTCCTCCGTTCGTCGGGGGTGCTCCTATCCTTGACAGTGACGTCTTGACAGTGAGGACCGGCAGTACGAGCTTGCTTTCCTGTCAGAGGCTGCTCCCCATCTCTGTTCCATGCTGCTAGTACCTGAGGGTGACCCCGACGCCTTTGACATCCCGACCCCTCGCACCTACGCTGAGGCGACCTCGGGACTCTGGGCCTCTCAGTGGATAACTGCCATGGAGCAGGAGATGGCATCTTGGAGGGCTACCGGCACCTACTGTACGTCGACGCAGTTCTCCCATCTGGGGTGAACGGTTGCTCTTCAAGGTGAAGCGCCCCCCTAGAGAGCCGCCTGTATTCAAGGCGCACAAGGTGGCTAGAGGCTTCAGTTAGCAAGAGGGGGTGGAATTCTTTCAAACCTTCACCCCGACCCCGAAGATGACCACTCTTCGGGCGCTGCTACACGTAGCAGCACAGCGTGACCACTCCCTCGACTTCTCCACTGCTTTCCTTCAAAGCAGCCTACATGAGCAGGTCTACCTGTGCCGCCCTCAGGGCTTCACTGGTACTTTCCCTCCTTGGACCCAGTGGCTCCTTCGGCGCCCCGTCTAAGGATTGCGACAGCCGCCCCGTGAGCGGCACGATGTACTGCGTGCCACAGTAGCTGACCTGCAGTTCTTTCTGTCCTCTGCTGACCCTTCCCTCTTCGTTCGTGGTGGCCAGACTCCGTTCTACATCCTAATCTACGTAGACGACCTGGTCTTTGCTATAGCAGACAGAGATGCGCTGGCCTCCGTGAAGGCAGAGCTGCTGAGGCGACACACCTGCGCTGACCTGGGAGAGCTGCGCTGCTACCTTGGCCTGCAGATCTCTAGGGACAGAGCAGGGCACACCATCACTCTTACACAGTCACACTTGGTGCGCGAGGTCTTTCATAGGTTCGATCTTCAGTTCTCCTCCGCACAGCCCACACCTCTGCCGGTAGACCATAGGCTCTCAGCTCCAGTTCACGAGGAGTCACCAGAGCCCAGTGGTCCTTGCGCAGAGCTGGTGGGTTGCCTTATGTACCTGATGACTTGCACTCGCCCAGATCTCGCATACCCTCTCAGCATCCTGGCCTGGTTTGTGGCCATTGACAGACACCGACCACAACACTGGTCGGTCGCTAAGAGGGTTTTGTGTTATCTTGCATGTACATTGGGCATGGGGCTAGTGTTGGGAGGACGCAGGCCAGTGGTCCTTACTGGGCACACAGACGCTTCTTGGGCAGACGACGCTGAGACCCTCCGGTCCTCCCAGGGCTTTTGCTTCAGCCTTAGGTCAGGTGCCATCTCGTGGAGATCCACTCACTCCTCGACTATTGCTCAGTCTAGCTGCGAGGCCGAGATCTACGCCGGTGCCATGGCGGCACAGGAGCTCCGCTGGCTGACCTTCTTGCTTGCCGACTTAGGTGAGCGGCCTAGCTCTGCCCGGTTCTGAACGCTGACAACAGGGCCATGATCCTCTTGTGTCAGGAGCCTCGACTTGAGGGCAGAGCGAAGCACATCCAGCTGCGGTACTTCCTCCTGCGTGAGCTTCAGCAGCGTCGCCAGGCCCGAGTAGTACACTTGGCCTCCGGTGCCAACACAGCTGATATCTTTACTAAGGCGCTTCCGCCTAGAGATCATCAGCGGCACTGCTTGCAGTTAGGTCTAGTCCCTGTTGACTCTCACTTGCTAGGCCCTTGATTGTGTTCTCATTTCTATTTATGCCTTCCAGACTAGCCTTATGGCTTTTCCTCCAGTGGTTGGACTAGTAGTGCCACCCTGGTTTGCTCAGTCTTGCTTGTACTCTTGCTGACTGGTCTTCGGGCCCCTGCCTCAGAGGTTGGACTAGTAGTGCCACCATGAGCTGTGTGTTTCTTGCTCAGCGCTACCCCTTATCTAGCCTAGGGGGTGTGTCAACTTATACATATATTGTTATGTAGAAGTTAAAGGCTAGAGAGGGTATGTTTTTAGTGGGTACAACCCAAATGCTATATCTCCCCTGTTCTCCCTTCTTCTAATAATTCTTTCTAGTCTTAACAAATGGGACACGTGAACACGCTATCAAAGTCGCGCGTGAGATTGGGGAAGAGGCTCGTAGGAACCCCTAGGTGTCAAAATTCTCGCCGTGCAGCTCGGTTTGGCTTGAGAACAGGGCTGTCGTTATCAGGGTATTTAACCCTGATTCCCTGATTTCACAGGGTATTTTTTTTGCCAACCCTTGATTTTCATGGTTTGGCGCTTTTGAGCCCTAGTCCCTTCAGGGTTGTAAGTTTTTGAACACTTAGGATTTCAGGGTTTGCGTTATGCCAATACTGGGTTTTTAGGGAGCAACGCGTACGGACCCTGAATGCGACATCCATGCCATCCTTGACCTTCTGCAAAATTCCCCCTACACGTGACTGGTCTCCCCACACACCCAACAACTCACAAAAATCGACGAAGTCCTTTTTTTCAGACATCCCCTCCACACCTAAGTTGGTACCTTACGTTTACGTGTACGATTTTTTACGTACGTTTACGGCTACGTTTACGTACGTTTACGTGCCTTTGATTTTAGGCCTGCATGTACGGGCAGCCTGAATTTTTTTTGGCTGCCCTAGGAAAAAAACTTAGGGAGGGTAGAAATCTGACTTTGTAAGAACATGGTTCACTCAATTTTTATAGTAGTATTATGCAAGCATACAGCAAAAACCCAAGTTTCCCCCGAGCAAAACACCTACTCGGATCACTCTGAATCGCTAGATTCGTCCTCAGACTCGTCATCAGGCTCGTCCTCAGACTCATCCACAGTGGAAATGTCCAAGTAAGCTTCATCTTGGATGTCATCATCCTCGTCAAGTGGCTCATAGCCATCCTTGGGCTCCTCTCGAATCATTGGTAGTGCTGTCACCATCATTTTCTTGGCGAAGTCCTCATCAAGTTTCTTCACAGTGTGGTAGTTGTGACTGACGTACACTAAATCCGCAAGACGCTTGGGGCCGAGTCGGTTGCGGCGTGCGGTGTGGATGGACTCCCACACACCCCAGTTCGTCTCACATGTGGACGCCGACACGCACTGCTTGAGAATCTTGCACGCCAACTTCGTCAGGTGAGGGCAGTCGGAGCCATTCATAACCCACCACTGCACAGGATCCAGGTGACCCTCCTTGATAAGGATGTGTTCGTCCTTAGCTTTCTGCTCTCCAATTTCTCCCGTCCCCCTGGTGTACGTCAGAATCTCGGTTTCCACAACTGTCGCCATTGGTGACAGGACGTTCCCCATCTTCACAGTCTCTCCCTTGTAGTAGTCGCGCACAAACTGTTTGAATACCTTGGTGCACTCGCGATCCGGTCCGAATATCTTCTCGTACTGGTTCGGCGGATAAAGAATGCGCCCAACCACATAAAGAGGGCAGTTGATGTTGTTCTCCCACCTGTTGCGCACGATCTCTGCAACCTCCTGCTGCTCGTCTGGCTTCAATCCCACGCTCGCCTTCTCCACTTGCTCCTCCAAATCGATCATCATCTCGTACACTGAGGGAAAAAACCGTCCGGATGTTTGGCAATAAGTTGGGTTTTTAGGCTTTGAGACTACTGTATGGTAAACCTGCAAGATGCACGGTGGTACATGTTGGGAGAGGCACAAAGTGGATGCGTTCACTGCACTAAGAACTAGAATAGTACATTGGATCTAACTCATACTCCAAAAGATATACAACGAGTACATCCTGGCAGTTTTTTCCCAGGACAAAGAGCAAACTTCCGAACAACGTTTCTAGTACCTAGTCCACCTACTCTTGGCGTTGATCACCATCCACACCCTCCTAGGCATGTTATCTATGTGGTTAGTGCAGACCTTTGCATGAAGCTTCTTGCACTCTTCCTTGACCCACCATTTTGCATAAGGGGGTGAGCACAAGGAAAATTGCGAAGTATTTGAGCGTATGCATAAGTATTGTGCACGAATTCAGATTGAATATAATCTCTGAGACTAGCCAAGCCGAGGGGTGTCCAAAGATGCCATTACTTGAATGGTCCCGGCTTATCATGGGTTGTTTTCGTCGAATCAGAGTAGGGTGAAATCACGTATAGAGTGGCAAAATCTAGCATACCCGCCACGAAACTTAGGGTAACAGAGCACGGTCGATTGAGCATCCTTTCATTGTTAGAATCATGTTAAAATCCGCGAGTCTAGTGACAGTGCATCAGTTGAAGAAGTCTCGACTGTTTGGGAAGAATATCAGGGTTGAGGTCTGGTGAGGAAGAGGGGCACTCCAGAGCTACATATCCATGCTCTCCGAGCCATTCCAAGCCTAGGCAGGGAAAATGACATGGAATGCCTTGGAGAGCATAAGTATGTTGCGCTGGAGTGACCCTTTTTCTCACCAGACCTCAATCCAGATATTCTTCCCAAACAGTCGAGGTTTCTTCGACTGCTGCCCCGTCACTAGACCCGCGGATTTTAACATGGTTCACACAGTGAAAGGATGTTCAGTCGACCGTGCTCTGTTACCCTAAGATTCGTGGCGGGAATGCTAGATTTTGCCACTCTATTCGTGATTTTACCCTAGAACGATACGACGAAGACGACCCATGATAAGCCGGGACCATTTAACTAATGGCATCTTTGGCCACCCCTCGGCTTGGCTAGTCTCTGAGATAACATTCATTCAGAATTTGTGTACAATACTTATGCATACGCTCAAATACTTTGCAATTTTCCTTGTGCTCACCCCCTTATGCAAAATGGTGGGTCCAGGAAGAGTGCGAGAAGCTTCATGCAAAGGTCTGCACTAACCCCATAGATAACATGCCTAGGAGGGTGCGGATGGTGATCAACGCCAAGAGTAGGTGGACTAGGTACTAGAAACGTTGTTCGGAAGTTTGCTCTTTGTCCTGGGAAAAAACTGTCCGGATGTACTCGTTGTATATCTTTTGGAATATGAGTTGGATCCAATGTACTATTCTAGTTCTTAGTGCTGTGAACGCATCCACTTTGTGCCTCTCCCAACGCGTACCACCATGCATCTTGCAGGTTTACCATACAGTAGTCTTAAAGCCTAAAAACCCAACTTCGTGCCAAACATCCGGACGGTTTTTTCCCTCAGTGTACATTTTGCCCATGACCTCCTGATTGCCGTCGACCTGCCTCAGCATCATGTAGATTGGCTTCAGCACAACTACCACCTGTTCAACGCCCTTCCAGAATCCAGGGCGCTTAATGGTACCCCGTGCAACCCTCAGTTTAGGCCTCCCCTTCATGTAGTCCTTGAAACCCTTGGTCGACACCATCTTCTTCAATGTGCGACGCACCAAAATCAACCGCTCAAGAGCGATGTAGTTCGTCCCGAACCGAATGCCTGCAGTCTTCAACACTTTCAGCGAGTCCTCCCGAAAGTGGCCCGTGATCCACTGTGCGTTTTTCAATGTAGATATGAGTTGTTGCGCCTCCTCGATGGTGGGTTTGGCCCAGTTAAGCTCGCCAATGTCTTTCATCAAGAGACTGAGCGCGTGTGCGGCACAACGAATCCACAGCACTTTAGGATACTCCTGCGCCACGATGCTGGCAGCGCTGATGTTCGCGCTCGCACCATCCATCAGCAGTCCAACGACGTTCTCTGCGCCGACCTCCACAATCGCGGTCTTCAAATGTTTGGCGATGTAGTCGGCTCCTTTCTTATCCGTGCCGCAGTCCACGCCAAACAGGAAGACGCTTGCACGGGAGTTCACCGCCAGGATGTTGAGCTGAGGTCGGCCTTCGCCATCCGTCCACCCGTCGCACGCGATGCTCACACCAATTTCGCTCCATGACTCCTTCACATCCTTGAGGGTGTTTTCGGTCTTCGACTTGCACTCCTCAAGCAGGCGACCCATGATACAGTAAGTCGACGTCCGGGTGGGGAGAAACCGGGTCCCGCAGCTGCCACCTTCTTCAGCATCGTCTTGAAGGCTTCATGTTCGGCCACGTTTGGCGGAATGCGACAAACGTGGAAGAACGAAGCAACGGCCAACTGCGCATTCGCAGCATCCACCGGCTTGGGACGCGTATCCGTGAGCGTCCTCTGCGTCGCCGGCCGCTTTCGCGCTCCACCGCTACTCTCGGGCATGTTCGTGGTCGTGTTGATGATAGGGGTATGCGCGAACGCATTTGCATTCCTCTGGCTTGCTTTCTTCCGCTCGTCGTCATCGCTCCTTTTTTTCGCCAAGGCAGCTTTCACTTCCTCCTTCGCCTCGTCAGTAGCTGAGGGGCACGCGATTATGCCGCTATTGCGGATGCCAAGAATATGGTTCTGTGCGCGCACTACATTGAGCTTCCAAATGCGGTTGCAAAACTTGCACTGCTTGTCTACGGTGGAGTCGCATTTACCACCCTCCGGCACGTTGAAATACTTCCAAATAGGATGGTCATCAACGTTCGCCATGACAGCTGAATTTCAAAGCTGATTTTGGCTGGAAATATGAGTAAGTGCTGGTGCTGCTGGTAGTTCTGTGGATTCGGACTGAAATCTGTCGTAATTAAGTAGCAATCTGGATTTGACGTGCGGAAGAGTCTCTTGAGCCGCGAACCAATTTAGGCGAAAGCGCTAGGACGAAATGGCATGTACGCGGAAACGTGTTGCTGCCGGTTGCAACGAAACCAACATGTAGTATGCGATTGGTCGAAATACTAGAAGGCATTTTCGTCGCACCTCAAATTTGCCGACGGATGCTGGAGCGACGAAACTGATTACGCGGTGCGTGTGCTTGATTGATTGGGTGGCGAAAGTGGTGGGCGTCAAATTTGACGCGTTGGCAAACCACTCTGCAAAATTCTGCCGACAGAAGCAATTGCGACGAAAGGCATAGGGAGGTGCGAAACCTCGTCAATGTGCCGGCACGTCAAATTTGACGCGCTGGCAAATCGACGAGTCAACCCAACCGACCGCTCGCGCCCATCCCCTTCCAACCAACCCTTACCCAGCCCTCGACAAATAATCGCGTCCCCCTCCAGTCACGTAGATCCTAACCCACAGGATCCCGCCAACCTAGTCTAAGCTTAAGCTAGCACTTTAGCTAGGAAGGACCCCCCTCCCCCACACCAGCGCGACGATTAGGCGCGTGTCGCAGACTGAGGGAAGACCTTCAGCGGTAGTCTAGTAGTTAATTTCTAGATCGCGTATAAGTATAGCTGCCGCGAGATGTTGATCGCGTTTTTCCCGCTGACAAATTTTGGCCCGGGAAAAGAATTAACGCCTGCCCGGCGGACGTACACGTTATGTTACGCGTACGTGTACGTGGGCTGGATTGACGTAAAGTACCAACTTAGCTCCACACACCAAGCAACCTAAAAAGTCGGTCAACTCCTCTAGGACAGCCACTCCCCCTGCACACCCAACAACCCACAAAATCTTGCTAAGTCCTAATAGCTAGAGACAGGACAAACGAAAAATGGGTAAAGTATATTGTACAGACATTCCCACTCCCAGTCCTCAACGTCACCCCTTATACCCCCAACAAACCCATATCTATTTTCTATGAGTAGTCGCTCCTTTTAGTGGATTTTTTGCCAGTTGCCCGTGTGATCATCTGAAAGTCAATCAAAATGGGACGGCCACGATCAATTGCGATCGTTTCGACAATTATCACCCGTTCCATGGTTGCCACCCCATTCGCTAGCTTCCCCCCCTCCCCTCCGTTTCGATCCCCCCCTCCCTCTTCGTTTTGCTTGCCCCCTCCCCTCCGTTTCGATTTCCCCTTCCCCTCCGTTTCGCTTTCCCCCTCCCCTCGGTTTTGATTCCCTCCCCTTTTCCCACTCGAAATCGATTCCCCCCTCCCCTCCTTTTTGATTTCCTCTCCCTTAATTGAGCTGTGGGTGGCCATCTGATTTTTGAGCTACAGTATTTTCACTTCGCCTGGGAAATCTGAAAAAATAAAACCCACCCGCTAGAAGTAGCAAAGGAGAAATATCGTGACTGCTAGAGATGATGCGGCAATTTGAGAATGGCTACGGCGGTTGCTAAATGGAACCCTGATTGGGTTATGTGAACCCTCAGAATTTCAGGGTTTCAAATTCTAAACACTGACAAACCAAGGTAGGCATTTTTGGAAAACAGACCCTTAGGGTAATTTTTTAATTTTTTTTGTCGACAGATCAGGTCGGGCTTTTTTGAAACGTCAGCCCGGCTTGAGAAACTCAGGGCTCTGTGCGATACAATAGGATCCAGTGCGATAACCTTTTCAAATTTCCAGCTCAGGACACGCCCCTACACATGCTCCAGCTTGCGTCACCTGCGTGATTTTGGCAAAGGCCCAGTCACACCCCACACAACTGCTCCAGCTCACGTCCACCTACCTTAGTCACTGTCACTGTCAACATATAATTTGTATATGTTATAGGCTAGCTAGGTGCATACTCATATAGAGTATAACCCCTTAGGTTAAAGCCCCTTGTACAACCTCATTATAGTTTATTCTTTCTACGCTAAGATCGTATCAAAGTGCTGGATAGGAGAGACAGGATGAGCACAAGAGGGACGACGAGACCAGAAGTGGGACGGAGGCGTCAAGTAAGGAGACACAGGAGGAGATACAGGAGGAGTCACAGGAGGAGAACGAGGGGGGAAACGAGCCGAAGACGAGTTCGACGGAGGAAAGACAGGGCCGTAGACAGACAGGGGAGGTAGAAGCGGGGGAGGCGCAGGCGGGTGGTCAGGGGAAGGAAGGCCGAGCAGGCAAAGGGCGGAGACTGGCGGCGACTGCTACTGCTGCTGCTCCACGCCGACACCAGAACCTCCAACTGCACCACGGCTACTTTCAGAATGCTCCACTCCAGCACCCCCAGAACGAGAACCCTCACCTGCGCCGTTGTGCGCGCCCTGCGTCGAGGGCTGGCTGCGCCGTGCTCCTTATTCCTCCTCGCTTCGCCCTGCCACCGCGCCACTCCAGACCCTGCACCTATACGTCTAGGGCCCAGCCCCCATCCCTGGGCCGCGTCGAGAGCGCTACTTTCTAGCGCTTGTCGACGACCACTTCCAGAGCGCTACTTTCAGAGTAAGGGTGTGGACTTCTTCCAGACCTTTGCCCCGACCCCGAAGATGATTACTCTCCGGGCGCTGCTACATGTAGGAGCACATCGTGACTACGAGCTGCACTCTCTCGACTTCTCGACAATGTTCCTCCAGGGCAGTTTGCATGAGCAGGTCCGCCCGCCAGACTTTACTGACACCTTCGCCCCGGGGGCCCAGTGGCTCCTCTGGCGCCCAGTTTACGGCCTGCGACAGGCGCCGCGTGAGTGGCACGATACGATGTGTGCTACATTAGCTGACCTACAGTTCTTCCCGTTGTCTGCAGACCCTTAACTTTTCGTTCGTGCTGGTCAGACCCTGTTCTACATCCTAGTCTACGTAGACGACCTGGTCTTTGCTACTGCAGACAGTGACGTACTGGCCTTCGTGAAGGCAGAGCTACTGAGGAGACACACCTACACTGACCTAGGAGAGCTGTTCTGCTACTTTGGCCTGCAGATCTCCAGGGACAGAGCAGTGCACACTATCACTCTCACACAGTCACACTTGGTGCTCCAGATCCTTCTGAGGTTCGGCCTTCAGTTCTCCTCCACACAACCCACACCTCTGCCATTAGTTTACAGGCTCTCGGCTCTAGTCCTTGACGAGTTAGTAGAGCCTAGTGGTCGTTACGCAGAGCTGGTGGGTTGCCTTATGTACCTGATGACTTGCACTTGTCCAGATCTCGCATACCCTCTCAGCATCCTGGCTCGCTTTGTGGCCACAGACAGACACCGGCCACAGCACTGGTCGGCCGTTAAGAGGGTTTTGCGTTATCTAGCAAGTACATCAGGCATGGGGCTAGTGCTAGGAGGACATAGGCCAATGGTCCTTGCAAGGCACACAGACGCTTCATGGGCGGACAACGCTGAGACGCTCAGGTCCTCCCAGGGCTACTGCTTTTGCCTTGGTGCAGGCGCCCAGGGCCTTGGTGTAGTGTGGTGGAGCAAGGTGGAGGGCGGTGGGGCACGCTGGCGCGCACGGCCTGCGAGGGCGCCGGCGCAGAAGAGAAACCAGGACCGGCAACGAGCTGGGGCCGGCAGCGAGCAGGGGCCAGCGCAGCTAGCAGGGGCTGGCGTGAGCTGGGGCCGGCGAGGAGCTGGGGTTGGCGCGACTAGTAGGGGCCGATGATGAGCCAGGGCCAGGGGGGCTAGCACGGGCCGGCGCGAGCTGAGGCCGGCGCGGCCAGCCGGGGCCGGCACGGCTAGCAAGGGCCGGCGAGGAGCTCGGCCCGACGAGGCGAGCAGGAGCCGGTGCGGCGAGTTGGGGCCGGCGCGATGGACAGGGGCCAGCGCGGCGAGCTGGGGCAAGTGCGGCGAGTAGGGGCCGACACGCTTGCGCGGTGAGCAGGGGCCGACGCGGCGAGCTGGGGACAGCGACAAGCAAGGGCCGGCGAAGAACAAGGGCCGGCGCGACGAGCAGAGGCCGACGCAGCGAGCTGGGGCCAATGCGACAAGTGGGAGCACGCGGCAAGCAGGGGTCGACGCGGTGAGCGGAGGGCAAGCGCGGCTAGCTAGGGCCAATGCGGCGAGCGAGGGCCAGCGCGGCAAGCTAGGACCAGCGCGACGAGCTGGGGTCGATGCGGCGAGCTAGGCCCAGTGCGGCGAGCTAGGGCCAGCGCGGCGCGGCGAGCTAGACCAGAGGCACGCTAAGGGCAGGGAACTCAAAGGGCGGGGTGCTCTAAGGGCGGGGCGCTCTAAGGTAGGCTAGGGTGGAAGTGAGGGTGGGTGGCACCTGTTAGAGTAGCGGGAAAAGTGGTGACTAAGGGAAAATGCCGTGGGATAGAAAACTAGGGTTGTACTTGCTAACAACTAAACTAGCTAGGCTATAAACAAATATGACCTAGCTAATCTATATAAATATATTTTGTTGACACACCCCCTAGCCTAGATAGTGGCAGTTCATAATAAGGCAGAGTACACCAGGGCACCACTACTAGTCTAATCTTTGGTGAAGGCAACAAGGCAGCTCAAGGCAGCACTGCTAGTGTGACCACTGAGATAAGAGGCCACAAGGCCAGTCAGCAAGTGTAGCAAGACAAGCAGATATAGAACAAGTACAAGCAAGTATAGTATGACTCAGAATACTAGGAGTGGTGCTGCTACGGAGACGAGACCAAGCTGAGTACAGAACGCGGATGGTCACGAGGCACAAGTGCGTTGGTGAAGATATCAGCGGTGTTGGCCTCTAAGGCCAACTGTACCACTCGAGCCTGACCGCGCTGCTGCAACTCACGCAGCAGGAAGAGTAGTAGCTGGATGTGCTTCGCCCTACCCTCAAGTCAATCCTCCTGACATAGGAGGATCATGGCCCTGTTGTCAGCAAATAGGACTGGGGCAGACCTAGGCTGCTCACCTAAGTTTGTGAGCAAGAAAGTCAGCCAACGGAGCTCCTGAGCGGCCATGGCCCCAGCGTAAACTTCTGCCTCACAACTGGACTGAGGTACAGACAATGACCTGGTGGACCTCCAAGAGACTGCACCTGCACCA